ACAGCTCCGACGCAGGAGCCACCCCGCGCGCTATTGTTCCCGTGCGTGGAGCTGCCACTTGTTTGATTTTGGATTGCAGCAGTCGCGCGCTGGCGGCGTCGCCTCCGTTCTCGTAAAGGGGCGCGCGTTACATTCTGGCCTGTGCAGTGCACGGCACCTTGCGTACAGATAGGAACATCGCCCTCCGTCATCCCTTCGTCGCCATCCGTCGCACTTGGCCCGCGGCGCAGGCAAGGCGCAGAGTCAGGATGCTCACCTTTCCAAAGGGTACCCCTGTTGCATCCTACGCTTTCCGTTCCGTAGCTGGGGAGCTGGATAAACAGCAGATGCCATGCCGCCAAGGCCTTTGCATCCTTACGGCGCTTTGTAGGGGCGGGCCAGGATGGGGATGCAGCAGGGTAGGGAAGACGCGGGAATCAACGCTCCGAGGAGCGGCCGCCGGGGGGGGAGGGGGACGGAGGAGGGGCCCGCAGGCGTCTCGGTTCACTGAAACATAGCGGGCCCGCAGGGGCGACACTGCCGTCAGCGGGCCTCCGCGGCGATGGCTGCCTCGGGCGGCAGCGGTCGCGACAGGAACAAGGTTCTCTTCTATAAGTGGGGCTGTTACCTGCGGGGTGGCGGGTCGAGCGACGACAAGATCAACAAGGCGCTGAGGGAGACCTGCAGCAATAGCATGGCCAGGGTGGCAAAAGGGGCCCCGACCGCAAAAGTGACGCTGGAGAAGGTAACGAAGAACAAATGTGTGTTGACGTGGCCAACGCCAGTTTCGCATGACACCTGCGCGCGGCTCCCCAAGATTGCGCTGGGCGCCAACTGGAAAGACTATGTGAGCAAGCCTGCGGGAAATGGGCTGGAACAGCTAACGCTGCAGAAGATGAGCCAGCTGTCGCCGAGGGCCACGGTGTCGCAGGAGAAACCCTAGAGGACGCGCTGGGGAAGGTGCTCGTTCCCGCCGCGGACGGGGTATCGGAGCCTACGCCACCGGCAGCTGCTCGTCGCGGGCCTGCTGGTCCGAGAGCGGTGTCCCACGACGAGGGTCGTGTGAATCTACTTGCACTGAAGCTCGACGCGGTCGGGCACGCGTACCAAAACAAACAGAAGGGCAAGTGCGAGGACCTGCCGCTCGAGTACGACGTGCAGTGGGAAGGAGGGGAGCTCGGTCAGGGCTCTTTCGGCAAGGTCTACTTGGGCACGCGACGGGGCGACAAGACTGGCCTTGCGATCAAGATGCTGCGGGGCGACACCAGCGATGCGCAGAAGGGGTTCAATACGGATGCCGTCGGAGGTGCTCTGGATGAGGTCATGCGCCACGGTGCTGTGGGCACGCACCCGCGTCTCGCTCGCTTACTCGACGTGGGCCTTTTTCAGGAGGTTGCGCCCAGGAACTGCAACAGTCCCGAAGAAAGCACACCGAGAGCTGCAGCAGTCAGCACCAAGGATAGATTGGAAATGGACGGAGCACATCGGCCTCGTGCACGAGTTGTTCGAGATCGATGTCCGCCAATTCCTCAAGAAGTCCTCCTTCACGCAGACAGGGATGCGCCACGTCCTGAACAGCGTTCTCGAAGGGCTCCAGTACATGCACGACAGGGGCCTCGTTCACTGCGGCATCGAGCCCGCAAGCATCCTGATGCGAGGGTTGCCGCAGACGCGCGGGTGCCTCGAGAAGCAGGCACGTGTAGCACGTGAGCTTGGCGAATGGGATCCCGTCGCGCCGTGCCCAAAGAGCAAGCTGCAGTTCGACTGGCAGATCCCGAGTTCCTTCGAGGCGCTCGTCGTCGTCGCCGTCGTCGTCGCCGTCGTCGTCGTCGTCCTCCTCCTCGTCCTCCTCGCCCTCGTCGTCCTCGTCGTCCTCGCCGTTCTCGTCGTCCTCGTCGTCCTCGTCGTCGTCCTCCTCGTCCTCGTCGTCGTCGTCCTCGTCGTCCTCGTCATCCTCGTCCTCCTCGTCCTCGTCGTCGTCGTCCTCCTCGTCCTCGTCGTCGTCGTCCTCGTCGTCCTCGTCATCATCGTCATCCTCGTCATCCTCGTCGTCGTCGTCGCCCTCGTCATCATCGCCGCTCCTTCGACTAAGATCCCGAGCGGTCAGGGCCCACATGGAGCTCTAACATGCCATGTTAGAGCTCCCTGGGAGCTCTAACATGGCACGTGATACCATGTTAGAGCTCCCATGGAGCTCTAACATGCCATGTTAGAGCTCCAAGGAGCTCCCTGGGAGCTCTAACATGGTATCACGTGCCATGTTAGAGCTCCCTGGGAGCTCTAACATGGTATCACGTGCTATGTTAGAGCTCCCTGGGAGCTCTAACATACTATGTGAGAGCTCCCCTCTCCTCCATCCGCCCCTCTCCGCAGGTGGTGCTCGCCGACCTCGGCTGTGTGCAGATGGCGGATCCCCACGGCAGGTTGAAGAGGAAACTGCGCTACAGCCCGACCTGCGATGACCTCAGAGTATGCACGCCCGCTCACAGAGCGGTAGACGTTTTCTTGGGGAACCAGCGCTACTCAGAGGACCTGGACATGTGGTCCATCGGGCGCCTGATGGCGGAGTTGTACACGCGCAAGGTGTTGTTCCAACCACCGGAGCCTTGCGGCGCGCTCGGGCATCCCCCAGGGGGGCACCCGAAAGACTTCGTGGTTTTCTGTAGGGAGGTTTTGGGGATCCCAGGCAAGGAGCCAGGGTCGGGGGACTTCTACAATTACGAGGACCAGGAACCCGCCCCGTGGCTGGACAACCTGCCCTTCTTTGAGAAGGGGTTCAAGCGGTCGGGCGAGGATTGTCTAAAGGCTGAAACAGCGAAGGCACTCGACGGCCGAGGGCGCTGGCCCGTTGACGAACTTGCAGACTGCCCCCCAGACTTGTTGAAGGCCGCCGAGAGCTGCCTGCTTTGGCACCCTGGCGCCAGAGCGACAATCAGTCGTCTAAGGGCTCGTCGCTTCCTGCAGCCGGCTGGCGCCCAGCTGGACGTGCGCATCTCCATGGCGCAGGGGAAAATCGGCACGGGCACGATAGCGGAGGCGGAGCTGGACCCAGACTTGCTCCGCTTCTTGCAGAGAGACCCGCGCTGGCAGAACTTGGCCGAGGAGCGCCTGGACACGGGGGCAACCGTCTCCAAATGCGTCCGAGGCGACGAGGCGGCAAAGGGCTTGAAAACAGAGGTCGCAGGCATCGTGGACGACGAAAGCCCCCCGAAGTGCCGCAGCCTCAACAAGGGCGGGAATTGCCCCCTCGCCCCACATGGCCGCCTTCGTGCGAGCGCTGCGGAAGAAGATGCGCCCGTGGCTGCAACAGCTGGGAGACAAAATGCGCGAGGCTGTCAAAGCCGACGGCATGCCATCTGCCATCGTCGAGCAGAACGGAAAGCCCATCATGACAGAGCACTTCGCCGACAACGCGTTCGCGTACGCATCGATCCAGCTCATGCAACCAGGCGCACGGGACGATGGTTGGCACACAGATGGCGGATGCTCCCTGTTGCACGCGGCCGTGGCGATTTTCGGGACGCGCTCCGTGCAAGTGAGGACCCCAGGGGTCCTGGGAGCACATGATGGGGCGTCACCCTCGAGCACAGCCTCCTGCGGAAGGGTCGTCACCCTCGAGCAAAAGCCTGGGTCCTTCTACATGGGCACCCTGTCCTCCCTCGAGCACAACGTGCACCGCCACGCCTCCGCGGACTGCCAGGACTGTTTCGCGACCCACCACGAGCTGCAACAGCGCGTAGACGACAGCAGGCTGCAGATCGCCGTCATGATCCGCTCCGACGTCTTTCGGGAGTTCAGGGCGCGCAGGATCGACGCCACGCCTGGCCCGAAGGAGTTCTTCAACGTCGTGAACCACGTCGTGGCCGATCTCCTGGCACGGGTCCCCGTGGCGCTGCCCGACCTCACGGAGGTGCTTGACGAAATGCGGTGGCCCGCTTCCACGGAGGCTGTGGGGCTTTCCGATTAGTACTCAGCACGGCCCGCGCAGTCCGAAATCATGATCTTCATCGCCATCATCATCGCAATCATCGACTTCATCACCATCGTCATCATCATCATCATCACCATCATCATCATCATCAACATGTTCACGCCGCCATCATCGTCATGCGGGTCTTGATTTAATCATCACCATCACTACATGATGATGGCGATGACGAGGATATGATGATGGATATTCTGATGATGACGATGGTGAGGAGATGGTGATGATGATGGCGATGACGCGGACGATGACGAATATCATGACGACGATGATGACGATGATGATGACGATGATGCAAAAACAGGTTGGGTCGGTTGAGTCCGAAAACCCCGCCCTAAATCAAGCCAGTGTAGTACAGCATCGCTGGTACATCTTGGGTTTAGTATGGTCGTCCTCCTGCGTTTCTCGTTCCTCGCGCGAACTCCGAGGGCCCGCAGCTCGCATCCACAAGGGCTGCCCTGGCCGAGGGAGCTCGCCCGAGAGGGCACGAGGAGCAAGGGTATGGCGACCTCCAGGTCTGGCAAGGCCGCTGGTTGCTGGGTTGGGCGCGTGCAGGGGCCATGTGCCACCCGCGTTGAGAACTGGTATGTTCATCACTTAGCGGTTTCGGTTCCGGTTCCAATCCCGGAGCTGTTTTTACTGCAGTTGTTGGTCGCCATGTTTTTGCCGCTTCCATTTTTGAAGAGACACATTTTCGGAAGCGGTGACCACAAGGTTCTGCCGTTTTGGGGGCCCTTTATCTTTATGGAGCTGGCATGTTCATTTTCCCCTTTGAAGCGTCCTTGGCATCGTTCGGACGTGTGCATTTTTTCATCGATGGCCATCGATGAGCATGTTGGATCGCCTCACGAAAAAATACGCACGAACAAATGCAACATGCACGGGGGAAGGATGTCCGAGCGATGGCAAGTGGAAGCTTCGGTACTCAAAGCATTCCCTGTATCTTCCCCGCTGGAGCGTTAGAGCTCGTGTTTCGTGAGGGGAGGTGAACAAAAAACACGGGTGGGAGCCCTCGACGCGCCGCGCCGCCCCCGAGGACGTGGGCATGAAGGTCGCGCTCGCGGTGCTGGTCATGCTGCTGGCCTCGCCCGCGCCGCGCGTGCTGGGCCCTCACCCCGTGGGCCGGTGATCGCACCTGGGGGCTCCGGGTTCGAGGATCAAGGTCCGAGGCTTGAGGTTCCAGTATCGAGATTCCAGGTGCCAGGATCGAGGTCCGAGGCTGAAGCCTGAAGCCTGTCAAGGGTCGAGGACCGACCGAGGCTTCCAGGGTCAAGGATCGAGGATCGAGGTTTCAAACGGTTTCCACAGTCGAGGAATCGAGGTTCCCAGATCGATCTTCCAGGGTCGAGGATCAATCGTGGGCCCCCAAGCGGTGGGGTGACCCCACCATGTGGTGCGTCAGTGAAGACCCAGGTGGTTGCACGGTTTCGGGACTCGGGTCGCTCTCCGAGGTTCCAGGGTCTCGGCTACACTCGGGGGCGGCCAAAGGGTGGTGATGATTCGGAGGGGGGGGACATCATGGCCCAGGCCATGATATTCCCTCGGATTTCATGGCCCCCTCTTCTTCTTTCAACACGTCCGTTGGCCGCCACCTCGCCCGCGCACGCTTCGGGCCGCCACCTCCCCCTCTTGAATGCCCCCGACATTCACAGTAATGACCCTTCGCCGGAATGTCCTTTGGAGCGGGCTTGGCCCTCTTGGGTCCTACGACCGCCGAATGCGATGCGATGGCAGTTGCTCGCGCGCTTTGGTTTGACCTTCCCTCGCCCCCCTGAACCCACGCACCAACAGTCACTCATGCCTGGCGTCGCTCTTGCGTGTCGAGGATCGATCGGGGCCTCCAAACAGTAAAGAGACCACACCGTGTGGTGAGTCAGTGGTGGGGACTCGGAGTAACCGTACGGAATTATTGCGACTCGGGTTGCTCTCGGAGGATGTTCTCTGGCGATTGGGGCCTCTGGGATCCCAGAACGGTGCGGTGACAGGCCGTGCGGTGACGTCGCGGTGCCCGAATAGGTTCTTGTCCACCGCCCCTTGGGGGCCCAGGGCATCGGCTCCCCAGGCAGTAGGTATCGATAAGTCGCTACCTCGCATCGAGGGTCGAGATCCCCAGGCAGTAGATATTGATGAGTCGCTACCTCGCATCGAGGGGCGAGGTTTTGTTGTCATGTTTTGGGGAGCGTGCCTTTGGCCGCGATTGGGTCCGCTTCGAGGTCTCTTGCCAGGTTGCGCCCCTGGTACCCAGACATCTGGCTGCCCAAAGAAGTCGAGTCGGCAGTTTCTCCGCATGTTGACCATCCGGAGGTCGGTTTCGGGACCAGGACCGTCAAATGACGACTCGGGGTGAAACGTCGGGCCCGTGGTCGAAGAGGTCTGGAGGCGGGCGACTCATCCTAGGATACAAACTCAGTATCGGCTTTGACCACGCCTTGCCTCTTGACCACCATGCCAGCGCGTGCGCGTCAGCGAGCCAAGGAGGAGGATGTCCCGAAGCGGTGGGGCCTCGCTTGACGTTCCTGGTCTCTGACGCAAACTGAGGTGAAGGCGTCTCACGCAAGCAACACATAGCACAATATGCATACACTGTCGGAGGTTTGCGGTGATTTCTTGGGCCAGCGCCAGACACTCCTGGGCTCAGCGGCAGCACGCGCGCTTTCGACTCAGGCGGAGGGCTCGACTGCGTTTCCCCGATGCCTTTCTCGCCCTGAGCCCCAGTTCTTCTCATACGGATCCCCCTTCTCGCCCATTTCAGTCTTTCCCCTCCCGCTACCCCGTGGCAGGCCGTCAACTTGTTGTCGCCCACTCAAGTCGACCTTTCGGCGCTGCAGGGCCTGCGGTACCTCGACCACCAGGCCAGAGAACCCTTTCATCCAGCACCGAGCAGGGCAGGACGAGGAGGAGGAAGAGGAGGAGGAGGAGGAGGAGGAGGGGGAGGAGCAGGGATCAATCAGACATTGATGATGAGGGCGAGGGGGAGCAGAGGGAGGATGGCGAGGAAGAGGAGGCGGAGGAGGAGGCGGGGGAGAAGGAGGAGGAGGAGGAGGAGGGCGAGACAGGGAGGAGGGACGGAGAGGAAGTGGAGGACAAGACGAGGAAGATCATGATGACTGAGAGGGGGGAAAGGAAGGCGGGATGACGAAGGAGGAAAGCGAATGATGAAGGAGAGAGGGGAATGGAAAGTTGGATGAGGGCGTGGATGGCGAGGAAAAGGAGGAGGAGGAGAGCGAGACAGGGATGAGGGAGGGGGACGAGGTGGAGGACAAGACGAGGATGATAATGGTGACTAGGAGGAAGGGAACGAAGGCGGGAGGACGAAGGAGTGAAGCGAATGATGAAGGAGAGGGGGAAATCGAGAGGCGGAGGCGGAGGAGGAGGAGGAGGAGGAGGAGGAGAAGGAGGAGGAGGAAAGAGGGCAGAGGAGGGAGAAATGGGGCAGGAGGAGTGGTGATGACGAGGAGGAGGAAGAACATTGAGGATAGAGGCAGACGAGGGAGAATAACAGATGGCGTTGCCAGCGGCCGAAGAAGTTGCCCATGTGCCGGAACGATGCGTTTGTAGGTCGCTTTTCTTGCGATCCATGGACCAATCAGCTCGATGATGAGCCCCACTAGGATTTTTGTCATGCGGCCATCGTGCAGACGCCAGCGAGCGACTGAGCAGAGTCCGTGTACTGCTCACGAACAGGGTCATTCCGTAGTAAAGAAATCCAGCAGTCCACACCAATCATGTTGCAGACGTTGTTGCGCGCACGTCCAGATTGCGCACGAGAATTGGCCGTCAAAACAGCCTGGATGGCACTGAGGGGCAACGATGGAGGGGATAGGCTCAGGGGGGGGTGCATCGACCCCCGATCTTCCACTCATCGCCAGTATGGCCACGTTAGCCCACCCCGCCGGGGAACGCGCGGATTTACCATCGGGTGCTCACCGCCCATCTAATCGGCGATGCATCGCCGATTCCAGCTCGACGTTTCCCTCTCCTGAGCGGGCCTCCCCCCAGACATTCCCCCTCCACACAGTCAGATTGCGCACCAGAATATGTCGTCAAAGCGGCTTGTGTGCTTCACGTCGTGCGCCAACCCCTGCGCTTTCTGCAGCATCCTGCTTCGGCCGCGGCGTGGACGCATGCGGCTGGATTTGGGCGAGCTACAGCTGACCGCGGGGGATCGCGGGTGGTCCAAGGCAGCGACGACTCGAGCCTAAACAAAGGGAAGGAGGAGGAGGAGGAGGCCCAGTGGCATCGGGGACATAGTGGAAGAGCGTGCGGGTCTGCCATTGCGGACACATCGTCGAGTCCAGCTCGATGTTCCTCCCACGCGAGAGGGTCCCCCCCAACGTTCCTCTTCAGAGGAGGAGGAGGAAGAGGAGGAGGCGGAGGAGGAGGAAGAGGAGGAGGCGGAGGAGGCGGAGGAGGCGGAGCAGGAGGAGGAGGAGGAGGAGGAGGCGGAGGAGGAGGCGGAGGAGGAGGAGGAGGGGCGCGGAGATCATCGCGCGTCGCGGCGTCGCGGCGTCGGCGAGCTGCCCCTCTCGAGGGGAGGGACCTCGCGAGGGCGCGGAGGCCACCGCGCGCCCGCACTTCGCTGGGCACGATGCGCAGAGTTGGAAGACCCGACGGGGCGGGGGCCCATCCTGGGCCCTTCCGAGGGGCCCCCGGAGAGGGCGTCGACTCACCCCGGGTTGCCCCCTGGAGCGTGCGAGTGCGTCTGCTCGGCGCCGGAGGGCGTGGGGGGTCGGAAGGAAGCGGGAGCCCTGAGACGGGCGTCTGTACAAACGGGGGTCAGCCAGGGCGCCAGATCTTGCAGGATCCTGCAGAGCCAGGGTTGCACCGACCTGGGCTAGCGCGCAGGATCCTGCCGGATCCTGCAAAGCCCGACCTACCTGGGTTTGGATTCACACGGGTCAGTGGATCCCCGACAGAAGAGGGAGCACAGTCAACACGCACAGTCAGGATGAGCAATTTTCCATGGCTATCCTTGCATCTTTCCCTTTTGGCCCATCCTTGGCCGCTTTCGCTGGCTGCGCCCCGCCCGCAAGTTGTCGGCATGGCCTTCCAAGGTTTGATGCACGGGTTGACCGTAGAGAATCTGGAGGTACGACATTTCTTGTTGTATGGAGCTGATGTCGGCACCGCCGCTGGGCTCCTTCCTCGATGCACGTGGGCGCTTCCGGCGCCAGGAAGACCAACTCAACAAACCAGTTCGTTAACGACCTCTTCACTAATCTTAAGTCGGGCCTGTCCCTCTACAGGAGGAATAAGTCTGGGGAGTATTTTTGTTGGGCCATTGTGGGGCATTCGTTTGACTATTTTTCATTTTTCGTCCAAAATCCCCCTGTAGGAGGACAGGCGCGACTTACACTAATCCTCCTGTTCGCCGACCCGGGAGTGAGGAAGAGGAGGGGGGGAAGAGGGGACCTCATGGGGGAGAGCGGTGGAGCATGGCCGACGCGCCTGCTGGCCTGCCAGCGACGAGTGGAAGGCAGCTCGCAGCAGAAGGGAGCAGGGAGGGACAATGTCGGAAACTGGAACATATACATTACCAGTGGCGTGCTGTTTTTCAGTCCCTGGACTTTATGAGAGTCAGGGGCGACGTCGGGGTGGTGTGGTGTATAGTTGTTTCCCCGTTTTCCTGGGGAAATGACGACATGTATACGCCAGCATCCCGTATACACCAGGATCCGCTTTCCTGTGCGAGTTTCCGTGCAGGGCCGGAAGAAGCGTCGGTGCATAGAGTTTGCATGCGCATCGTCTGCAGCTAGCTTGGTCCAGAGGAGCCCCAGGGGGACGATCATTGCATCGATGCGCGTTTATCGCCAGGCGTGACCGAAGTCGATCGGGGATGATCAGGCGATCGCAAACATGGATCAAGGGGGCGTGGATTAGCGATGGGTCCCGTTTCCATGGGAAATCGCGATTTTCCGCCGCCGAACGGGGCGGCACTAGCCGCATTTTGGAGAGGGCACTTCCCCCGATCCATGGATTTGGCGACCGCGCGCCAAGTCCATGGATCGCTAATCCATGTTGGCGCGCCCCCGAGATGAGGGGGAGGCCGAATTCCCAAGGCAGTGCTCAACGCAGGCGCCAGGGCCTCCCCCGTGGGTGCTCCTCCGAGGACTCTGCGCCCCTGGCGGGTGGGCCGCCGTGCGTCGCGCGGCGCGGACGCGCTTTCCGCGTCGTAGCGGCGCTGCCAAGGTGGTCAGGAAGATGGCCGACGGCTCGATGAACGCCACCGGTCTCGGCCCCAGCTCTCGGGCCGAACGACACGGGGGGGATACAGTCGGCCCGGATTAGTAGGTCGACCCTGCCAGCGCAAGGGTACCCTTGTGTCCTGTGTCTCGCGACCCGTGCCTCCTACGTTCCTATGGCAATGTGGCCCTCGGAAGGGTCTTGTGTCCTCTCGAGTGTCCTGTCCAATCAAGGCCGAGCGTAGGGAAAGGGGGGGTTACGAAATCTGCTGCATGCAGCTGGCTTCGGCCCCGCCGCCGGGCCCATTCCTCGATACATGGGCGCCTCCCGGCGCCGGGAGGCACCGGGAAAATCCCCCCTTTGCTATCCCCCCCTTTCGCCCGGCCCGAAGTTCCCCTGAGATCCGACGCAGCGGAAAAGTTGCCACATCGTAGAGAGTCTCTCGCAGAGCCCCAGAAGCCATCTCTTCTGCGTGATCTCCCGAGCCGGATCCATCGGTGAGGGTCCTGCGGCCTGGAACTGGGCGAAAACGTCTGGCTCGAAAACATTGAGTCACCAGGATCTCAGGGTCGGCCACGGCTGCATTCCCCGTCGTTTTCTCCCAGGGCCCTTGGAACCAACACAGTGCGAACCAGGACCTCGAAATTTCCGGCCAGAGAGGGCGAAGAATGAAGGACGTCTCGACCCGGGGCTGTATAGTGTGCTCTGGCGCGCCAAAAAGTCCTGCAGTATCAAGGCCCCCGCTTGCGGAGCTTTGATCCTCAGTCGATCGGCTTGACAGACAAAGGGTCCTAGACTCGGATGCGGAAAAGGAACCCATCTTGCTACCCTCGCTCTGGTTTCCCCTTTGTCGGCCTCCTGGGGGGCCCTCGTCGCCACCACTAGATTCGCTTCGAAATTCTGGTCAGAACGCACCCCTGGAGATGTTCCGGGGACCGGGGAGATGCGGTGGGTTTTTGGGGATTTATCGGCGGTTTTATTTACTATTGGTTTTCCAATGCTCCTCAGTTGAAACAGCTTTGACAGACATGGGTTCCTAGACTCGTAGGTTGTTCCACAGTTTCAGGCTCCCAGGGCTCTTTCCAGGGGGGGGGGGGGGGGGGGGGGTGGGGACGACATGTGGGGGGGGGGGGGAAACATGGGGGGGGGGGGGGGGGGGGGGGACATGGGGGGACACGGGGGAACATCGGGGGGCGTCAGACGAGGATTCGGGTAATGAGATATGAGCGGTCAATTGAGCGGTCAGTCTTGGGGAAGGCCCAAGGGTCCAGGACTGACTTTCCTTTCGATTCCTACCTCCAAGAACGGGGAGGAGATGGAGGAGGAGGGGAAACGTGCTGAGGTGGAGGAGGAAGAGCGAGCGCAGGACTTTTTACGCCTCAGCACGTCGCCGGAGAGCTGCCCGAGCTGACGGGGGACTCGTCAAGGGCTTGGGATCAGGCCCGACCTTAGGGGGTGATGGCCTCAGGTCAGGAAGGCAAAAAACGCACAGAAACAATTCATCGTCGATTCCCCAGAAAATATGGGAAAATATGGGAAGTGGGGGGGGAAGACAAAAACCCGAAAATATGTGAAAATGTAGGGAATCATGTTATTTGTGTTTATTTATTTGTATGTCCCAGGGCCCCTTCATCAGGGCGGGGGATGCGTCGGCCTCCGATCGCCCACTGATCGCCGATAGGGGCCCGCTATCCCACCCCGCCGAGGAGCGTGCGGGTTCGCTACCAGGGGCCTGTCGCCCATCTAGTCGGCGATGTATCGTCGATTTCAGGTCGACATTCAACCCCTGAGCCGGTTTCCCCCTGTCGTACCCTCCCCGAGGGGGGGGAAATGGAGTGGGGGAATGGAGTGTCAGGCGATCGCAAGCATGGATCAAGGGGGGCGTGGTTTAGCGACGGGTCCCGTTTCCATGGGAAATCGCGGATTTCCGTCGCCGAACGAGGCGGCATTGGCCGCATTTTGGGGAGGGCCCTTCCCTCGATCCATGGATTTGGCGACCGCGCGCCAAGTCCATGGATCGCTAATCCATGTTGGCGCCTCCCCGAATGGAGTGGGCGGCTGGGTCCGCTGCGCGAGTGTCATTGCCCCAATGGACCTCGGCCGTGCGATTTGTCCCAGCTCTCCGCTGGGTTCTTGTTTGGAGTAAAAGAGCACCAGGGGGGGCGTCTCCTCCTCCCCCCGCCTCCCTTCTCCTGCCTTCTACCTATCTCCTACCTGCCTTCGATCCCTGGGGGGCGGCTGCGAATCTACGGCTGCGGAAAGCTGGGCGCGCCTTCTGTTGCTGATGCGCCGCTGCATTGGTGTTGCGCTTCTGTCTGCGCTGGGGCTACTGCGTGCCGCCTGGGGCGTAGGCGAACTGCTGCGTGTGTGTGCGGGGGGTGCGGCGTTGCGCGAACTCCCTCTGCCGCTCTCTGGGGCGAACTTGCGAGATAGCGTTGCGGGGCTGCGGCCGAAATGCGAAAGCAAGTCGAGTTGAAAGTAAAAAAAGTCGCTACTAGTTTTTGAGGTTCTTCGGAGTTTATAGTTTCTAGGTTTTCTAAGTAGTTCGAAGTCGGTTCGGACTAAGTCGCTAGTTTTTTTTTTTTAGGGGGTTTTCTGCAGGGTTGCTTGGGCCTCCGCAGATCCAGATTTGACATCGCCATCTCTGTGTGGCTGCGAGCTGCGAAACTGTGGCGACTTTCGGCTGCTTGGCTGGGGCCAGCGTAGTGGGCACCGAGCGCAGATCCAGATTAGATCTTGCCATCCCTGGAGGGCTGCGAACTTCGAAACTGTTGGCACTTTCGAGAGCTGCTGGTGGGGCCAGCGCAGCGGGTGCCGAGCGCAGATTCCGATGAGGCCTCGCCATCTCTTGGGGGGGCTGCTGATTGCGAAACTGTCGCCACTGTCGAGGGCTGCTCGAGGACCAGCGTAGTGGGTAACAAGCGCAGATCCAGATTAGACATCGCCATGCCGGGGGGGGGCTGCGAAGTGCGACGCTGTCGCCACTTTCAAGTCGGGAGCTGATTTGTCCTTCTTCGGGGGGGAATCCGAGGGGTCGAGGGCGTCGCGCTTCAGCCCCTGGTCAAGCGCCGCGCCCGAGGTACTTTCTTGAAGGCGTGCTTCGTTCCAGAACCGACCACGATCGGCCGCGTGAGTTTAGGTTTGAAGTAGAGCCTGGTCGTTGGATCTGGGGTCGGGCCCAATCTTGTGCTGGTCATCTCGAACAACCACCGTAAATTCGCAGAATGGCCTTTGCGTGGCCAGCGGAATTGGGTGTAAACGAACTCGTGACGCTTCGCACATCCCTAGCAGCCCATCCAGAGACGATGCCCAGGCGAGTCGATGTGAGCAGGAACATGTAGGAGCAAAGTGGAGGGCAGCTGTCAGCCGTTACCGTTCGAAGGAGGATGAGGACATGTGAGAGAGGACGAAGATGGAGGACGAGTAGGCGAAGGAGGAGGAGGAGGAGGAGGGCGAGCGGAGGGGCCAGAGGCCTCTTCAATGCTTATCAGAGTGTCGCCGGGTATCTTCTTGGGCGCTTCTCGGATGCCCCTTGGGGCGATTTGGGTGCCTCTTTGCCGGTCACAGGGGCTTCTTGGGGCATCGTTGGTGCCCCTCGGGGGCCCCTTGGGGACTCTTGGGGGCCTCTTGGGGGCCTCTTCCGGGCTTCCTGACGGGGCCTCTTGGGCGCCTCTTCGGGCCATCTTGGGGCCCTCGTGGGAGCCCTTTTGGGCCCTCCTGGGGTCATCTTTGGGCCCTCCTGGCGCCCACTCGGGCCCACCGCTGTTGAGCATCTGAAACGGACGTTTCAGATACTCCACCGTGGAGCTTCCTGGAATCCCCAAGGCATGCCTTGGGCCACCCCCCAGGCCCCCTCAGGCCCTCCTGGAGCCCTCTTGGGGCCTTCCCGGCGCCCTCTTGGCGCCTCCGCGGTGGAGCGTCTGGCAGGGCCGTCTCAGCTGCTCTTCCGCGGGGAGGAGGGGCGCCCGGGGCCCCCTCCAGGGCTTCTCTGAGGGCCTCGCGGGCTTTATGGGACCTCTCATGGGGCCCGTTGGGCTCTCCCTGGGCCCGCTATTTCGTTTGGCGCAGCCCCCAGAGACACGCCCCAATGACTCTGCCGGAGGCGCGGGGCTACCCCGTGGGAGTGAACCCACAGTGCCTCGCCAAAGTCTCAAGGGGGGTACCGCTCCGAGGGGGTGCGGCCACGGGGGGGGGGCCCTGTGGCGCCGTTTTTGCGCAGGTCGACACGGCGTTCGACGTGATTTGAAAGCGCTGGGGTCCCCGTTGGGCCTTCCTCGGGGCTTCTTGGGGCATCTTGGCAGCGCCCGTGGAGCGCCTCGGAGGCTCCTGGAGAGCATTTTGTCCGTCTGAGGGCGCTCTTCGGCCGTGTGTCGCTTTCGGAGTCCATCTCGGGGGCCTCTTTGGGTCGTTTGGAGGCTTCCTTGGGGACCTTGAGGGTTGTCTGAGGGCCCTCAAGGGCCGAGTTGAGGTCCTCTTGGACCCCTTTCGGGCTGTCTTGGAACCTGCTTGGGCCGTCTTGGGGCCCGCGGCGGACCGCTGGCAGGCGGCCGCGCCTGTGCGCCACCCTGTGCTGAGGCCCTCAGGCCTTTGACCAAAAGGGGCCTCCGGCCACCCAGCTGTGGACGGCTTGCGTCCCAGCCAGGGGCAGGGCGTCCAGCCACCTAGCTGCGGCCGTCTAGCTGCAGGCGGGGCGTCCGTCCAGTCCACCTTGTTGCGGCCGGCTTTCGGCCCACTTCCGAACCTCCTGCAGGTGCGTTGAAGTCGGCCCACGCTCCTGGCAGGTGAGTAGTTTCCTACAGACGCATCTTGGCCAGGCTATCTTGAGCTGCCGAGTGAATTGGTCCGACAAGTGTCTTCTCTTCTCCTGTGGGCGATCATTTACGGCCCCCTGATCCAGGCCAGTCGGTGGTCGTGCTCGCCCTAACCTTGCGACCCACGGGTGACATTTCGGGCCCCTTTGCTCTGGGCCCGCGTGTCGACCTCGCGATCTATTGAGTTGTCCTCGTCCAGACGGGATGGGCAGCAGAAGCATTTCGACCGAACGCCCCCGAAAATTGTCCTCAAGCTCGCGGCTTGCACGAGCGCTTACAGGGGCGCGTTTCGCTCTGGGTTCGGACAGGCGGCGTTGGCGGTGCATGCGCAGGGCACGGTTGACCTCGCAAAGACGGTTCTGGTTGCGGAGTCTGGGGGGCCTTCTCAAGAGACACAGCCGCATGACAATTGGCTGCGCGAGGTCGCTGTCGGATGACTCGGGGGCCATGCAGGAAATTTGTGCGACCCCCCCATGAGGGGAGAAGTCGCCGTCCCGTCGAGGGCCGCTGGGGGGCCCAGCGGAGTGATGTCCCACGCGGATTCAGGCTCGACCTCGCCGTCCTCTCGGGGGGCTGCGAGCTGCGAAACCACTGCCGCCTTGCAGGGCGCGCGCGGCGCCCGGCGTAGCGATGTTTTTTTTTCATGTGGATCAGGTTGAGATTTCGCCGTCGCTCTGGGCTGCGACATGCGAAACCGTGGCCCTGTCCATGGGCTCCTGGGACATCCAGCGCGATGACGTCGCACGCAAATAGGATGAGACCTCGCCGTTGCTACTGCTGCGAGCGGCGGAACTGTCGTTGCTTTCGCTGTTCCCTGAGAAGTCCAGCGGAGTGACGCTGAGTTCAGACCAGATGAGACCTCGCCGTCGCCCCTGTCCGTCGTTCCCGCCCCCGTTCCTCTTGGGGCCCGGGGCCTCGCTCCTCATCCTTCTATTGCTGTCCTGTGAGTCGTGCAGCGCGCGCGCACCCGACGCAGCTTGCACCACAAGTGACTGTTCCTTCGTTTGTGTTATCCGCTTGAATGTTCGCCAACAGCCCTGGTCTCATGATGCAAATGGGTTTGAGACGTCGCAGGGTAATGCATTGTTTGTTGTGTTGTTGTTGTGGTTGTTGCTGCTGCTGCTGTTGTTGTTGCTGTTGCTGTTGTCGTCGTCGTCGTCGTCGTCGTCGTCGTTGTTGTTGAACATTATTTATTCTAAAGAATAATTATTGTTGGGACCCCTGGTGCGCGACCCCCTCGCCGCGCCTAGGCCGCAGCTACATTTTCATCATTTTCGTGAGGAAGCCTCAGGTAATACGATGTCATCAAGATCCGGTTGTTTTGTTCCCCCCCGCTGTCCCTTGCAAAAAACACTATAAAATGAAATTTCTTGTTCTAAAATAACCAAACTTCAAGAATCCCTTGCAAAAAATAAGGTAAAGTGGACATTCGCGCGCGCAAGACGAAATCCTTCCAAAACCTTAGTGTTCGTAACGATTTCAACATAAAAACATCAAAAAACCAATGGTTTTTTTTTTTTTTTAAAAAAGTGTCACAATTTCATCCCGCGCGCTCTTGCGGATTTGCAGGAAACCCAACTTTTTTAAACATTTCTGTCAAACGGGCTTTTGCGATCAACTTCTTCACGTGCTTCGAACTTCTCCAACAACGGTTGCGCACCTGCCAGGGCCATCATCCCTGTCAAATAATACCATGCGGGACACATTCGTTTTTTCTTTCCGTGCGCACGCCGAAATCTTCAAAAACCATTGGGTTTCGTAGGAATTTTAGCACCGCGCAACATAAAATCATTTTTCGCACCGTAGGCCCTTCAAATCGTCGTCGTCGTATACTAAGCTAGTTTCCACAAGATGTTACCACAAGAAGTCATTGAAACCATGCGCCAGTGTAGTAGCCACGGTCGTCCGCATGCCACGAAGTGAAGTGTCCGAACGTCATAGGGCGGGAAGCTGGGTGTGGGTGGTGGCGAAGAGTCGTTTGGAAATGTGGTAGAGCTTGAACCGGCCCCCCCACAAAGTGGGGGTATTGGCGGGCGTCGTATGAAAACCCTGGCACTGGTGAGAACACTGAGCGTTCGGGTAAAATGATTGTTGTTGTTGTTGTTGTTGTTGTTGGTATTATTGTTGTTATTGTTATTACTGTGGTTGTTGTTGATGTGTTTTGTTGTTGCTACTGTTGCTGCTACTGTTGCTGTTGTTGCTGTCGTTGCCGTTGTCGTTGGCGTTGGCATTGTCGTTGTCGTTGTCGTTGTTGTTGGTGTTGTTGTTGTTTGTGTTGTGGTTGCTGTTGTTGTTGGTGGTGTTGTTGGTGGTGTTACTATTGTTGTTGCTGCTGTTGTTGTTGTTGTTGGTGTTGGTGTTGGTGTTACTGTTGTTGTTGTTGTTGTTGTTGTTGTTGTTGTTGTTGTTGTTGTTGGTGTTGGTGTTGTTGTTGTTGTTGTTGTTGTTGTTGTTGTTGTTGTTGTTGTTGTTGTTAGTGTTAGTGTTGTTGTAGCTGTAAGTATTGTTATTGTTACTGTTGTTGGTGTTGCAGTTGCTGCTGTTGCTGCTGCTGTTGTTGTGGTTGCTGCTGATGCTGCTATTGTGGTTGCTGTTGTTATTGTTGTGCTTCGCGGCGTGTTATAGGGCCACTTGGCCTCCGATGCGCCTTCGGTTCGCCTCGACTCGAGGGGGTGAAGAGCAGGCTGGGGAGGACAGGGAGAAGCTTGGGGGTCACACTAGTTGAGGCCGCGCCACATTTGGCATCCGATCCCTCCCGCCCATCCCTGCTCATTGCGCTGATTGTTCCTTTACCCGCGGACGCGTAATTCCCAAGCATAGCATCATGTAGCGCGCAATCAGAAAAGGGGAGCTTCGTACATCAGAGGAGGAAGCAATGAAAAGGAGGAAGAGGTGGCGGGTGAGCAGGAGGATGATCAGGGGGACACGGAAGACGCGGAAGGAGGAAGACGAGGCCGAAGATCAGTAGCAGGAGTTGGCGTGGAAGGGGCAGGGGGGCAGGAGGACCAGGGGAAAGTGGCGGGCAGGAAATGAGGCAGGCAATAACGGTGAAAAAGGGCTCGGATGGAGAGAAATGGCCGGCGCTGGGGCGAGTGCGGCATCCTGAACGACGGGAGCAAAGCGCCGATCCAAGGACGAGGCCCACGCTGCAGTGGGAGCACCCTCTGAAAACACCGAACGCAATCGGATTGCAAAACAACATCGGGAAAACAATGCCACCATAGTCGTTTGTGTGTGTGTGTGTGCATGCGCGCGCGCGTGTGTGTGTGTGTTTGTGCGTGCGTGCGTGCGTGCGTGCGTGTGTGTGTGTGTGTGTGTGTGAGTGTGCATGTGCATGTG